CTGGTGTAGTGGAAGGTGTCCCTGCCCATGGCAGGGGGGTTGGAACTAGATGATCTTGAAGGTCCCTTTCAACCCAAATCGTTCTGTGATTCTATGACTCCATCTCAAAGCATCTTGGCAGGGTCTCTCGTCACATCAGCAGCCCTAAGCAGGAAGCAATTGTCTTTTTAACCTTTTTCTTACTAGTGTTTTTGGCTCGTGGAGACTAAAAATAGGTTTCCTCTACTTTGTGAGTATCTTGGAGCCAGAGTCCATTGGAGAGAGCAGCTGCCCTTTCTAAAAAGAAAATACGACCGTAACCAGGAAAAACTGTCCACTCATTGCACCTTCCCTTTCGCCACTTATCGCCCTCCGCAAAACAAGCCAATGCCGTGCTGAACTCACAGGGACTTCCAGTGTTTTTAGTGTCCCGGTGAGCCTCCGGGCCGCTTTGTGCCGTTGCTCTCTCCGTGTTCCTTCACTGAAGGCTTTCACAAACCCCGGTGGTTTTGGCTGCTCCGCTGTTCGGAAGCCCCGCTCCAGATGGCAGGTTTTCAGGCAGAGCTGCCTTTTTCCTTATTTTGAGAAATGAGCCCTGTGAATTTGTCCCCAGTTGAGCACTGGGAAGCGAGGCACCCGCAGTCCCTTTCTGAAAGGCTCTGAAGCAACTCGAGTGGTGTCCTGGCCTCAGCGGCACCTTCGCATCCATTTCATTTCCACCTTCATTTTTGGGCCACGTAAGAAAAAACGTAAACCTTGTCTTACTACGAGGGCACACAGATAACAGGCAGCACCCAAAGTCTCCTATTTTCTCTAATTTTGCTTTCAGAGCACCTCAAACACTCCTCTTTCCCACCAGCCCAACTCCTTTAAGGCTCTCTCCTAATTGACAGCGTTTACGTGGTGTCGCAATTATCCGACTCTCAATTTCATCTTGCTGCCCTCACCCTCTCCGTGCTTCTTTGCACAATATGGGCAGTGCATTTTCTTTCCTCCGTTTGAGCCATGACCAGAGGAATTTCAGTTGCAGCTTCTCTAATTTCTTTCACAAATACTTTCCACTTTCCTGCAGCAGATTTCCCAGACATTAGAGAATTCCCAGGTCCCTTAGGGGGTTCGTTCATTCCATGCCAGTTTTCCGTAAGTCGACGATATTGATGTTACTACTTGTAGTAGCAGATACTCTAAAATCCTCCCCCCAAAACACTTTGATTGTCTAATCCTACACGTGCTTGAGTTGGAGCCTGGTTTTCCCCCCTCTCACGGTATGTCCTATGCACATCCCGCAGCGGGAGCCAGCCCAGCCACAAAACTCCTGGAAAATGGGTCTTTAGGGAGAAGGGTTTGGGTGAAATTCCAACAGAGCCGTGACTTGTGGCAGGGTCTCCCGCCCAGGGATGGATTTGCCTCCCGTGACGGATGGATTTCCCTCCCACGACTGCGCTGCTGGTGAGTAAAGCTGCTCGGTTCGATCACTGCAGGGTTATTTTGGGATTTTAAGCCGAGTACCCTCTATCTTTGATGTATACCAGGTACATTAAACAACTTTCCTGCTCCTGATGTGCGAGATGCCTTTGCTTTCGTACCATTAAACGATTGACTTCCATAGTTCACTCTGCGACAGGATCCCCGCCTGCCTCAACTGTCTTTCTGCACCGGCGTGATGTTTCCTTTCTTTAAACGCCTTCAGTCTGAAGAAGGACGTCTCTGCTTTTATTGCTCTTTATTGCTGGTTTATTGCCAGCTTTATCAGCCAAGTTGCTGAGAAAGTTAGTTTGTTGAAATTCCTTTACGTCCCACAGCCATATTCCCACCCTCCTGCATCATTCCGATAAACCCTGCAGAGCCGGGTTTGTAAATGAATTGTTTAGTGACTGGAGGGAAGAAAATAAATGAATAAAACCAGGACAGTGTTGCTTCATGCAAGCTCAGCTTTGGGGCAGTCCAGGATCCAGCTGAACAGTCAAGGCCAATCTATGGAGAAGCTCTTCACGAAGGAGATTTGGGTGGTTTTGTTGCCTGAGAAAAGAAAAATGAGTGAGCGTTCTCAGAGGAGTCTGATATGAATTTGGGTGCAATCAAAGCTTGCCAAAAAACCACATGAACAGTATATTGCATAACTAATACAGATTATAATGCTCGAGGGAGAGAGAATTCCCAAAACAGAATCAGCAGTCAGAAAAAAACAAAAACAAAACCAAACTCATTGCTAGTATGAAAAAAGAAAAAAAAATAGAAAAAGAAGGGAGAAAACATTGGCAAAATGCTAAGGAAAATTTGGGCAGTGTAGGAGCACAGAAATGGCTGTTCTGGCTCAGACCAAGGTCCAACGAGCACCAGACTCAGCCTCTGCCAGACCCAACAGGAGATGCTTAGATAAAACCACCAGAAGAAGGCGAGTACCCTGTGATACTTTCCCAGTCTGCTTTCCCATCTTCCAGCAATTAGTAACTCAAAGACTTCCTGAGCTGCCAGAGCCATCCTCGAATTTAATATCCCCTGGTGGACTGGTTTCACATGATCTTGTTCCAGTTGTTCTTCACGCCCATGTGGATCTGCAGCATCCCCCATGCCCCTTGGCAGGGAGCTGCGGGCGACGGACAGGGCATCGGCAGCCGCGCTCGGGACCCTGGAAGAGCCTGAGAAAGGGGCCAGACTGGGACTGCTGGAGCCAAAAATGTAAAAAATAGCTTGGGCAAAAGGTGGCTCGAAGCTGGTTTAGATCCATATCAACCCAGGCGCTCGTAGCAGATTAGTTCCTTTTATTTGCATATATACATGTCAGCATGCGGGAGGTGAGCGCGAATCACGAGTCTGGAAGTATTTGAATATGTTCTGATGTGGAGTCATGTCCCAGCTGGGAAGTTCAGTTGGTTTCTTTGACTTCTGGAGTCAACGGATGAATTTTGGTTTCACTGAAGCCAGTGGGGTTTTCTACACTGATTTCAGCCTGACTCTATCAGCGATGACAACTGGCTTGGAGTTGGAAGTAAAAAGTTGCATGAAGTTGTTTTTTGGGCATGAATGCAGACAGGACTGAAATGTTTTATAAATTCTTCTTGGTTTAGTGGGAAACAAATGTCAGGAAAAGTAAGTAAACGTCTCCAAGATGTATTAGACCACTTGGTTTAGAAATCTGCTGAATTTAAATGTCTCCTCTTCTGTTTTGTTTTTTTTTTTTTAAAAAACATGAATGCTTGAAATGGCTTTTTCTAGCCATTCCACCAGTGTTATCAGAAA